CACCTATAATCCCAGCACCTGGGGAGGCTGAGGCAGGAGGATTTTCAGTTCAAAGCCAGACTGTGGTAGTGAGATTCTACCTCAAAACAAAACAAACAAACGAAAAACCCCAACTGTGTACCCTTTCTCTCAAAAAGGTAGCGCATAAAACATCTGGCGAAATCTAAAGGTCTGAAGCTAAAGCAATAGAATCTTGTGAATTTTTATAACTTTTTGTGAATCTTAAACTCATTCAAGCTAAAAATAATAGAGAAGGAAGGCAAGGAAAGAAGTAAATATGATTGAGAGACTGGGGAGTTTTGTTTCTGGCAAAATATGTCATCAAGTGGGCATTATGGCACACACCTGTAATCTCCAGCACTCTGGGAAGCTAAGACAGGAGGAAGACAAATTCAAGCCCATCTTGCCAAACTTAGCAAGACACCCCTCTAAAAATTATGTATATACACAGGTATCCTGTATTATGCAGTAATTAGGCTTTGCTGAACAAAACTCAGTATGACTAGCTTTAAATTTATGTACTACATTTGCAATACTAGAGAATGAAAAGTGTGATGAATCAAACAGATTTGCATCTTACCTCTGCATAAGTATTTAAGTTGCTTTTTAAATAGCCTGTAAGTGCAGCAACTTGGCATGCAAAATATGGCAGTGCCCAGTTTTCTCTTAAGGGAATGGAGTCTTCGATTCTTGTTGTATCTACCCTAAAACAAACCACAGATGAACAGAAAAAGCAAGACATTACATTTCTGTAGCACTACCCCTTTCAAAGCATTTTTACATCTCAGTGTTCTCTGTAACAGTCCTATGAGACAACCACAGTCTGAGCCATCACTGCAGATACAGCATCACTGAGCAAATTAACAAGGCGATCCCACTTTCCCATCCATGCAGGTGCAGCACAGCTGGGCTCGATGTGGTCAGGCTCTGTGAGGGGCACACCACTCTGGGCAGGCACACTGCATGCTACATAGGGCAGCCGGCACCCACCCGCTCACCCAACCGTACTGCAGAATTAGCAGCCTGGAGGATTCAAAGTTCGTGTCCTCCTTTGCAGAAGGAATACGAAGTCCAGACACTTGACGTAACCTAGTCAGGGTCATATAGGTAACAGGTGGCATGGGCCAGGGATTTAGCTCAGTGGTACCGTACCTGCCTCACAAGTGCAAGGTCCTGAGTTCGATCCCAGGTACCAAAATAAATAAATAGATAACAGGTGGCATAATGGAATTATGATGCGTATCTTTGATATCTAATAATCTTTTCAGTTAATGGATCACTCAGAATTAATTCTACAGTAGCCTTTATCTGTGCATTTATCCAAAGACCTCTGAGAATTCTCAAAAGCACAACACAGAATTTGTAGGCTCCCGCTGAATTTCTCCTCAGTCAATTTTCATGAAGAGCCTACTGTGTCCTGTGCATTTTTCCACATGGCAATGGTACTACCTTTCCGATGATCACTACACTTGGCTCTCTTATACTCAAAGGCTATCCACAAAAACCAAAGGTACTACTTTCTTAAAAATATATAAGAACTGCTCTATAACTCTTCTAAATGGTAGAGATGGCCAGGCTTATATGTATGTGGTTTATTCAGTAGCTAATGCATACTGTTATTAGAGTTAGTAAACTTTATTTCCATTCACCCTGAGCCACCGGGTTGTTTGCAAATAATCAAAATTATAAATATGTCATGATAGGTAAGAGGCTATAGTTAAAACAGCAATAAATCCAGATAAATCATAGCCAAAAGAAACATACTAGCCAGGCATGACAGTGCAGACCTATAATTCTGGCACTCTGAGAGGCTGAGGGAGGACAGCAAGTCCAAGCCCAGTGAGGCAACTCAGCAACAGAGACTCTTAACTCCTGAATGAATGAATGGGGATGCAGCTCAGCTCACCAGCCCTGTGGGTTCAACTCCCGGTAATGGAGAAAAAGAAAGGGGGAGCGAGGCGTGGTGGCGCACACCTGTAATCCCAGCACTGAGGAGGCTGAGGCAGGAGGATCGCTGTGAGTTTGAGACGAGCCTGGGCTACATAGTGAGTTTCAGGTCAGTCTCAACTACACAGTGAGACCCTGTCTCAAAAAACAAAAAACAACAACAACAACAACAAAAAAAAAACCTCTTCTAGTCTGAGACCTCTAAAAGCTAATAACATTCCTCAATTCCTGTCCCATTTACCCTTCCTATTCTCACATCAAACTTTAATTTTTTATTAGAGTAGCACAAAGCATTTTCTTTTTTCTTTTTTGGTACCAGGGACTGAACTCAGGACCTTGCACTTGCAAAGCAAGCGTTATGCCACTGTGCTAAATCCCTGGGCCACAAAGTAATTTTTTTTTTTGGTACCATGTATCGAACTCAGGTCCTTGTGCTTGAGAGGCAGGCAGCTGAAACAACAAAGTAATTTCTTAAATCAAGTCATCTACAGTCTTCTCTAGGCTCTTTCAAATTTACATTTTGGCCTATTCTCAGCTGGGTACAATAGCCCAGTAGGTAAGCAAAATAAGACAAAAGGTTTACATAGGAAGAAAGAGACAAAAACGTGAGAAAACAATGGAGCTTTAATAAACTTCTTCCTATTGATATAACATACTCAAGTATTTGTCCTCTATGTAAATATTTTACACAATCAGGCCTGGGGATGTAGCTCAGCAGTAATGCACTCGACTAGCATATACAAGGCCCTGGACTCCATCCCCAGTATTGCAAAGGCACATGCATGAACCTTTTACACAATATAATTAATGAATTTTTGCATTTTAAACCTCTATGTATTTTGCATGTTTTCCCTTCTTCATACTTATTTTATTCTTTTTTTGAAAAGAAACTCAGGGCCTCATACATGGTAGACAACTGCTCTACCACCAGGCTACATTCCCAGCACTTCTTTTTTTTTTTAGTAATTTGCCCAGGTTGGCCTTAAACTTGCAGTTCTCTTGCCTTAGCTTCTCCATTAACTGGGATTCCAAGTGTACACCATCACCATACTTTCTCATTTTGAAAATATATGGGCATTTACTTCTCCCTCCCCAGCTGCCATCTCTCCAGCGACCGGGAGGTAGTCTGGGCCCCCAATCTACAGCGGGAAGGAGAGCCATGCCTTCTCCCTCCCCAGCCCCCATTGCTGCAGTGACTGGGAGGTAGCTGCATGGGCCCCCCTGAACCCCCAATCCCCCCTGCATGCTCTCAGACCTCCTGACTGTGCCAGTCTTTGGACCCACTCTGCAGAGGCAGAGATGGTTATCAAGGGTATTTTTCTGAGTTCCCAACTTTGAGCATCTTTAAAGAAAGGGCGTGGCAAACCTGTAGTAGAACAGTATGGAGTTCAACCATTCAGAAGGTTGGGGAACTCAATCTGGGCCTTGCAGCCCGAGGTCAGTCAGCATCATGGGGTTCAGCCATCAGCTAACTGAGATCAAGGGTCTTGCGTCCTCACTCTGTCTGAGCCGTTAAATGGTAAATATACTATATTGAAATTTTGTTCATGGCAGACATGTTCTGGACTGCTTCTTGATTTCAATTTAATTCAAATGATTTGAGGGTGATAGATTAGTGACTACCACAGGTGGTCATTGTCCAAGTTGTGCTTGATCTTAATGTGTTGCTGATTGTATCAGTTGGGATAAAGCATTGCGATTGATTTGATGAGCTGTTTTCTCTGATGTTATGAAGATGAGAATGTCTGTGGGTCGTTAGAGACACACAAGCTAGGGCACAACTATATCAGGAAGATTTGGGTGATAACCCACAGATTAAACCAAGGACAGTCCAACAACAAAAATAAAAATGAGAAAACACTTAAGCAAGACACAAAGACAGACCTCTAGTTCACCTATGGCAAACAGTAGGGAAAATGAGGATGAAAAGGTCGATAGTGAATCACCACGACACCCTGAACTCAAAGCACAGGAAATAACAAAACAGATCAATCAGGCTCTAGAAAAATTCAAAACAGAAATAATTTCCCAGATAACCATAGAGATACTGAGCAAAATGGAAGTCATGATTCGAGACTCTAGAGCAGAAACTGACAAAAAAATAGATAAGCTCAGGACCATGATAGAAGCCATGAAGGCCCAGCATAAGAAAGAAATGGAAAAAATCAACGCCCAACATAGGAAAGGAATGGAATCCATAAAACAGATTCAAACAGATATCCAGGAGATTAAACACTCCATTGAAAGTGTATGCAACAGAATAAAAGAATGCGAAGATAGACTCTCAGATATAGAAGATGAGATTGTAGTCAGTGACCATGAAAAGAGAGGTCTCTTAAAAACAGTAAGATCATGAGAAATCGATCCAACAACTCCTAGATGATGCAAAGAAGAATAACATAAGACTGATAGGAATACATGAAGTAGCAGGAGAAAATACAAAGGACTTTAAAAAGCTGTTCGCAGAATTAATGACAGAAAACTTCCCAAACAGAGGGAAACAATTTGACATTCAGATAACTGAGGCATATAGGACCCCAACTAGCTACAATCAAAAAAAATCTACACCTTGACATATAATAATCAAGATCCCAGAAACCCAACAGAAGAACAAAATACTACAAGCAGTAAAAGAAAAGAAACAAATCACATGCAAAGGAAAGCCCATCAGAATCACAGCAGACTTTTCAACACAAACCCTTGGGGCAAGGAGAGCCTGGAATGAGATATTTCAAGTACTAAAAGAGAACAACCTCCTAGACTGATGTATCCGGCAAAACTCTCTTTCAAAATTGATGGGGAAATAAGACACTTCCACAACAAAGAACACCTGAGAAATTACATGACTACCAATCCAGCACTACAAGCAATTCTAAACAAGATCCTAGAAAAAGACAATGAAGGCAACAACACCATGAGGCCCAACAGAGCAAATCAAAAAGGCAAGGCAAGAAATTAAAAGAAGGTGAAAAAGTAAAAAGAGTCAACAAAAGGCCAATAACATGTCAATAATAAGTCAGTACATATCAGTTATAACCAGCAATGTCAATGGCCTCAACTCGCCAATCAAGAGAAACAGACTGGAGGCCGGGGATTTAGCTCAGTGGTTCTGGAGACTGCCTCGCAAGCACAAGGACCTGAGTTCGATCCCCAGTACCAAAAAAAAACCAAAACAAAACAAGAGAAACAGACTGGCAAAATGGAATAAGCAGCAAAATCCAACAATATGTTGTATACAAGAAACACACATAGGGCAAAAAGAAGCCCATAGACTGAAAGTGAAAGGATAGAAAACAATTCTCCATGTGACAGGAACCCAGAAAAAAACAGGGGTAGCAATCTTATTTGCAGACAAAGCAAATTACAAACCAAAACTGATTCTAGTATTATCGTTGTAGGACGGTACTGTATCATACCTCTATGAATATAAAATGTCTTGTACCTGCTTTATGATACATAGTAGGTACTGTGCTTTATCAGAGCTACATTTAATGATATTACTCTAGAATGTTCTCTTTCCAGATGATGATTAAGATGCTAATAAAAAAAATGGTGCCAGGTACTACAACAGCAACAGAACTTTGCTGTGTTCTGGATATTATTCTTTTCTTTGTTTTTTGTTTTGTTTTGTTTTGATTTGTTTAATGGAATGTGCTGAATGTCTATAATTTTGTTCAGATGACTGCAGAACCTGGAAAAGCTGTTGCTGCTATCGATGCATAACACACTGCTATTATTAGTCTTTTATATAAATATA